CAGAGCCTAGGCAGGAGAAGTCGAGAGACAGAGGTCCGGGACACTTGTTAGCCAGGTACTGCCACAATTAACGGATATATCCACAAACTCATCCGTGAATGTAGCGTCAGACTGGAACAGGCAATCCGGGGTTCAACGACTGATAACAAGCGAAGTGCTGAAGAGCGGAACGGTCTCTGCTAACCAGTCGCGAATTTCTGGATGTACACCCAAGACTACCGTGCATGATTTGAAGCCCTTACTGGCAAGTCACACGATCGGCACCAATGGGCACATGTTCTGACGCATCATAAGCACAACCATTTAAAATATCCAACTTCTTCCCCAGTTTTGACCCACCTGCTGTAGTAAAAAAACAGGTCTTGTTCTGCTCCCTACGACCTACATGATCGTCTGGCCAGGGCAGTTCGACCGACCCGATAGTTGCTCAGCTGAAATACACGCATTGTGTCCCAGTCTCAAGAGAGTGAGAGAAACCGATTGCGCGTCGGATCGTGAAATTAATTTTCGACAGTAAGGTGAAGGAATATAGGTTAGCGATTCCAGATATCGCGGAGACAATGACGCATAGCATGTCCTCACATTCCGCATGCCCTACATGCACTGAAAAAAGCAGGGCATAGTCACGTTCGAAACACTGAAGTCATGCGGAGGGCCGTAGATTCTGGTGGATGAATGACTGCGAGCACTTCACAGGTCCAAGATCAGACAACTTTTCGCATGGAAGCGAGAAAACATAGCCTTTTTACAGTATGGGGCTAGTAAGAGTGGATTGATAGGTTATCAGAACTTAGCACTTGTACATCACTTTTTCATTCTCAAAGTCCCTGCGTCTATCCACTAACATTCACACAACTTATTAAGCTGCATATAGTTTTTTTTTACCGAGAGTCGGACAGCCTACACCCTGACATCGTTCAACTGCAACATCAGTTCGTTGCCTATCTACCATGCCACCCGAAGGAGGCACGAGTACTGAGGTGCTGTCAAGGAGTTTTGGAGATGTGGTGGTTGGATTTAGATTTTCACGCCATGGGGCCAAATCGCAAAACCGTATTTGTGCAAGCTTTGGATTTTAAACTCTGTCGCCTGCGTTATGATATACTTGATATGATAAAAGCATGATTACCCCTCTGAACCTTTGAGACCAAAAGCTCCCGGAAGGGAGGTGCCGGCGCGAAAAGAATGCAGCTACTTCGAAAATAAACGTTGTGGACTCTTCGGACTTTCCTGGGTGGGGTCAACGTGGTTCTCTTTGCGCGTAACTGGAAATCCTATACACATGAACAGCTACTCAACACACAAGCATCAACCCATCGCTACGCACCACTAAGCTCCCTCACAACGCACCGATGATGTCATCTCGATTGGTGGTGGAACGTTTGCAATGAAGTTGCCCAGCTCAGCGACCATAATAACTGGTCATCATCATCATCAACGACAGCATGACACCAATGCTTCACTGCCGTACAACCATGACTTATTTGAAAGCCTTATTGTAGAGAAAAGAATAAAGGTGGATGGGGGAGGGACTTAGTGTTAGCTTAACACAATCATTCCGAGGTGCCTACACCTCCAGACATTCACTCAGGCAATTTGGATAGAAACTGACAACAAGAACGCCACTGACATCGGTTGGCAGCCGTATCCTGTAGTGTCTCCAACCAGGCACAGTGAGGATCACGCGGTTCCCACCCTGGAAGGAGAGTAGCACCGACAGCACCCAAGCGTTTCGTGATCTCCCTCATACTCCTCTGCCAGGTCATGGGTTGGCCACCTCTCTGTTTACGCCACTCCGAATTGGGCATGGAAAACAGTACTCTCTTCGGCAAACGATGGTTCGGCATGCGTAAAACATGTCCCAACCAACGCAGCTTCTGGTGCT